TCGCGCGCCTGCTTGCAGAAAGAGCCGCGGCTGGGGGGCGGGACAGAAATAACTGGCGCCGACGCTACCGCGCACGCGCCTTATGCGCCGCACGCCCGGGGGAGGAGCCTAGTCGGGTCTCGCGAACAAGGCCCAGAGTGCGCACGCGCCCGCGCCCGCGCCGGTTCCTCCTACCATCTCCAACCTCAACTCTGCCGGGCTGAGCCGCGGGGTGGGGGCTCTGTGACGTCGCCTCTGTGACGCCAACGCTGCAGTTAATCCCGAGAGAGGCGTGCGCACCGCTACTGGAGCGTGTTTCGCCCTGGAACCCGGCTCCGCCCCCGGACTGGCCTCCGCCGGCCTCCAGCTGCCCACGCGCATGGGCAGTTCGGGCCTCCGGCTCTGGCCCCGCCCCGCCGCCCGGCGTGAGGAAGCAGCCAGCTCTAGCGTCACCAGCAGTTCAGGGAGGGGGCCGGACCTCGGGGAGGTGGAAGGGGCCGGGATCTAGAGGTGATCTGCCCCCAGGGGGAGGAAGGTACAGGTTGCGGCGGCCAACTGTGGAGTTTTAACCTTCTTATTGTTAAACTTGACCAGCACAGAAACTTGCCTAAGGCAAATGTAAATAAGGAGCAGCAGAGCAGCGGGTCAGGGAACCCCTACCCTGCCCCCCGAGGGCCCTCAGAGCTTTAACGAGCCGGTGTCCTGACTTCCATGTCTTCCCTGGTGGGGGAAGTACCCTCGACGGTGGGGACTCCTAAGTGGGTAGTAAGCAGGGCCTGCGTGAGGAGGGTCCCGTCGGGGGACAAGCAGGACCTGGGGGAAGGAATCCGGTCTGAGGGGAAGCAAGGCTTGCGTGGGGAGGACCCCACCTGAAGGGGGAACCCGCTCAGGACCCTCAGGGCAGGAATGTCAGGGATGGTCGCTTAGGGTGGGCCTCGTCCCCCTATGCTCTGTCCCAGAGCGCTCCGGACCCAACCGCAGGGAAAGGCGGCCGCCGGGGAGAAACGGGGCGGGGCCCGCGCGCGCCGGGGGGGCCCCCCACCCGCCGCTCCCGGACGCGCAGACCGGGCGGCGGGCCGGCCGAGGCGGAAAGGTCGCGGCTCGGACTCCGTCCTGGCTCCCAGGTGCCCACACGTGGCGATGGCCGCTGGGCCTGGTGTGGCCTTTGTTCCCGGCAGGGACCCGGGGCTCCAGGGCTTTGTCCCCGCCTCTGCCTTTGTTCCAGCCCTGGCGCGCATCCCCCTCTCGTCCTTCCTCTTCTGGTTGGGAACAGAAGTTGGTGGCTTGCAGCGCACGGGTTGAGGGGTGGGCGTCCTTCAGTGGTATTTGCCAGATCTGGGACTTGACCTGTGGTCCTCCTTGTGGGAGTGTCCAGCACCTTTATCACCATGTTACCTGCTGGTCCCCAAATTAAATAAAATAATTATTTAAAAAAAGAAATTATGTGTTTGTGATAGAATACACTACATTCTAAACATTTTTAGAATTATTTATTTATTCATTTATTAGTTTTTTTTTTTTTTGAGAGGTTTTCGCTATAGGGCGCATGTGCTCGCCAGACAGACAGAGAGAGACATAGAGACAGAAAGCGAGAAATCACCCCCCAGGGGGGATGGTCACACAGCAATCCCTTCTCCTCCATTCTCCTCTCAGGATCTTGGGCACGCACGCACACGCGCCCGGCATGAGTTTTAAGCCACCAGGTCCAGGACGCGAACCGCGGTTGACTACGTGGGAGTCCAGTGACATAGCCATTATGCTAACTGCTGGTTCCCTCCCCCTATTTATTTTTAATTTGACCAGAGAGGGACAAAGTGGTGGGGGAAGGAAAGCAAGCCTCCAGGTCCAGGACTTGAACTGCAGTTGGCCATGTGGAAGTCCAGCGCCCTTAACCCCCACGCCACTTTCCAGCTCCACAAATACATCATCTCTTATGATGAGAGCCCTGAGGTCTGGTCCTGCTGATCTCTGACCTCACCACTCTTCTAGTAACACAGACGATCCATTGCTATAGGGCATGTGCCCTCTCGCCAAAGAGAGACAGAGATAGAAAGAGGGAAAGGGAGAAAGCACCCCCTGGGGACATGAACACACGCCAATTCCTTCTCCATTCTCCTCTTGAGATTTTGGGCACACACACATTCCTGGTGTGTTTTTCTTTTCTTTTTAAAAATTATTTATTTAATATTATTTGTTATTATTTTTTACTTTCAGATAGAGAGAGAGAGAAAGTGAGGAAGCAAGCTGCCAAGTCTGAGACTCAAACTGTAGTCAGCCATATGGAAGTCCAGCTCCTTATCCACCATGCCACCTGCTGGCCTCTTTTTTTTTTTTAAGAGACAGATTTTTTGCTCTAGGGTATATGCATTCACAGATGGAAAGAGAGAAATCACCCCCCCATCCCCAAGTAGGATGGCCATGCCAGAATCCTTCTCCTCCATTCTCATTCCAGGATCTTGAGCACACATGCACACGCACCAGCATGAGTTTTGTTTGTTTGATTTTTAGAGAGAGATTTTTGCTATTGGGTGCATGTGCTTGCTGGAGAGACAGAAAGACAGAGAGACAGAAAGCAAGACATCGCCCCCTGGGGGTGGATGGACACACTGCAATTCCTTCTCCATTCTCCTCGGGATTTTGGGCACACATGCACACGCACCCAGTGTGAGTTTTAAGCCGCCAGGTCCAGGACTCAAACCGTAGTTGACTACATGGGAGTCCAGCAACTTAACTATTATGCCATCTGCTGGTCCCATCTCAGCATTGTTTTTAAGCCGCCGGGTCCAGGACTCAAACAGGGTCGACTACATGGGAGTCCAGTAACATAACCATTGCACCATCTGCTGGTCCCCCTGGGGTGGTGTTCAAGCCTCTGGGTCTGGGACTCAAACCATGTATTCAGTCATGTGGGATCCAGTTGTCTTAACAACCATGTCACTGGCTAGCCCGATCTTTTTAACCTTTTAAGAAGACTATGATATTAGAGATAGTGCAGTGTACACCCAGATAACTAGCTGTTAGGGGAGGGGGGAACAGGACATCTCTAAGCTTCTAAAGGCCCTTCAGGTCCTCACAGCCACTGTGCTGACTCCTCAGAGATGAGCCGGTTTGTGGAAGCACATGGGATTGAACATGTCCTGAACATCTTCTGTGGCCTCTCTCCCTCTGTGCACGCCCCGTGGACACCTTCCAGTTTATGTGTTCTCCTGACTTCATTTGGGCCTCCTTCCTTCCTGAGCTCTTACAAACATGGCTGCTGCAGTGGACAACACTGTATGTGGCTTTTTTTTTTTTTTTGAGAGGTTTTCGCTATAGGGTGCGTGTGCTCGCCAGACAGACAGAGAGAGACATAGAGACAGAAAGCGAGAAATCACCCCCTAGGGGGGATGGTCACGCCGCAATCCCTTCTCCATTCTGCTCTCAGGATCTTGGGCACGCACGCACACGCGCCCGGCGTGAGTTTTAAGCCACCGGGTCCAGGACGCGAACCGTGGTCGACTACATGGGAGTCCAGCGACATAGCCATTATGCTAACTGATGGTTCCCTATGTGGCTTTTAATGAGAGACTAAGAAGGTTTTGACAGAACGTGGCATG